GAGGGAGGGAAGGGAGGGAGGGAGGGAGGGAGGGAGGGAGGGAGGGAAGGAAGGAAGGAAGGAAGGAAGGAAGGAAGGAAGGAAGGAAGGTAGGTTGGTTGGCTGGATGGTCAGTTGGTCAGATCAGGCATATCGATTACTATGGAGAAATTACAGCACGTTGCATAAAGAAGGTCAACAGCCACTTACATGATGAAAAAATGTGGTACGGATATAATCCAAGTGCCCAAGCAACGTGAAGAGGCAACGCCTAAGTTTGTAATTCCAAACCTGGAAAGACAGAAATTCAACCATAGAATAAGATGTAAACACCTTGGACTTCTGAAAGTCTCATCAGGTTCCTCTTCTTTGCTTGCTTGAGACGGGTTCACATAGCCCAGGCGGTCCTCGCACTTGCTATGTAGCCAACAATGACCTTGAATTGCTAATCCCACCTCCAATTCCTGAGTGCTGAGACCCAGTTTTAGATGGGGCTAAACTTCAAAAACATTAGGTAAGTATTCCACTTAAATGAGCCACACCCCCAGCCTTGAAATCTATTCTTGGAGAGATAAAGTTGCTGCACTATCTTTTACCTTTATTGTAATCAACCTTCAAAGAGCTGCCTACTTCTATTGACCAGCTCACCTAGCATTAAGGTGCTGCTATTACTAATAAGCTCCTAACTGGACAATCTAAAGGTTTCTTCTTAGTCTGTATCTTACTCTGACGACTTCACCTTTCCCCAGACTGCCTTCTTCCTGGGCTTTTCCTTGGTTTATCTTCTCCAAACTATAAAATTACTCTTTCCTATACCAATACTTCTTTTCTCCTTTAAGTAGAGTTGGGGTTTAATAAAGATATCTTAATACAGACTTAAGCACAAGGGATAAGAGAAAGAGAGGTACTCAGAAGAAAGTAAGACACACCCAAGAGCGTGAATATAGGCTTCTCAAAAAGTCACAGAATGTAAGACATCCACACATGGGAATGGGCTCAAGGGAATGTTGTCTCTCTTTCTTAGATTATCATTTGCCTATCATTCAAACTACTCCCTGTGCAGCATCTTCGACACTAAGCTTTAGCTCCCTCCTTCCTGCTGACAAATTCCAAATATCTTCAGTGAGTCTCCTAGGTACCTCAAGCACATTAGAACCAATACAGAATGATCCATTCTCCCAAACTCCAGAAAACTGTCCCTACTACAGATTTGTCTTTCCAAATTAATGACCTGTTAGGGCTGGGGATGTAACTCAGTGGTTGAGTACTTGCCAAAGACACATTAGGCCCTAAGATCAATCCCCAGCAGTGAGGAAAAAAATACAGCAATGGTATCTCATTCACTTTTCTTTATCATCCTTCCAATATCCACCATAAACAACCACTGGTTCTTTTCTTAAGCTCTCATATCCATCTCCTTCTCTCCATTTCAAATGGTGTTGCCTAGGGTCAGGCTCTGTTCACTTTCCACAGCATTTATAAAATAGTTTCCTCATTGGTATCTATGTCTTTAGTCCTTCCCAATTCATCTAATCTTTTCTTTGTTATTATTTGAGTAATTAAAAAAACTAAAATCAATTTAAATCTTATACCACTCCTATATATAAGCCCCAGTCTTGGTTCCACGCTTGTGTGATAACAAGAGAACTCCCGAGCACTGCAAACATACACTCATGATCTCACCTGTCTTCAAGGTCGCTCTCTCTTCGGCCCCTCTTTCACCATCTCTACATTTTCTCTCTCTAACAGGAGCTGGAGATTCTCAAACACATCTAGCTATGTCATGCCCATCTCTGAACCTGGGCTGTTCTTTCCTGTTTTGAGTATTTGTTATATCACTCACCAAACTGTATGTCTTAGTTAGGGTTTCTATTGCTACAATGAAACACCATGAGCAAAAAGCGAGTTGGGGAAGAAAGGGTTTATTTGGCGAACACTTCCACATCACTGTTCATTATAGAAGGAAGTAAGGATAGGAACCCAAACAGGGCGGAAAACTGGAGGCGGGAGCTGATACTGAGGCCATTAGGGGTGCTGCTTACTGGGTTCCTTCCCCTGGCTTGCTCAGCCACCTTCTTATAGAACCTAGGACCACCTGTCCAGGGATGGCAGTACCCACCATGGGCTGGGCCCTCCCCCATTAATCACTAAATGAGGAAATGTCTTACACCTGGATCTCATGGTGGCATTTCCTCAACTGAGGCTCCTTCCTCTGATGACTCTAGTTTGTGTCAAGTTGACACATAAAACCATGCTACATGCTATCATTTGAGTATACATTTATCTCTTGTATTAGAATAAAAGCACCTTGAGAACAAAAGTTACTTTGTATTTATCTATTCAATTCCCACACAAAAGAAGTTTCTAATATATAATAAGTATTCAATAAGTGTTTGCAGGATAAGTGTTTTGGATAATGTTAGAAGTCTATAAAGTGAATTCTCCTGTCTTTCAGTTCCTTAATTCCCAAACCTTACCACATTCTCCTATCCATTATTCCCAGCTGTGACAGATCGCCTGTACCTTAATCTTATAGTCATCTCCTCCAGAGACGAACAGTGGCTGCTGCTTATGGAAGTCAATGCCTCGCACTGGACCTAAGGAAGAAGGCAGGCAATGTAGGTTAAGGACAGTTATCCTCTACTTATTTGTGTGTATGTGTGTGGTGACGGTGCAGAGGTCACAAGACAAACTGCAGAGAAATTCTCTCCTTCTACCATATGGGCCGTGGGGCTGGGACTCAGGTAACTCAGGCTTGGCAGTGCTTGTTTATTACTCTCTGAGCCATCTCACCAGTGCCTAGTAAGAATCATTTCCATTTAACAAAAGTGCAGACCCATTTTTTTTATTTATTTTTTTCATCTTTAAAAGATTTATTTATTTATTATGTATACAGTGTTCTGTCTGTACACCAGAAGAGGGCACCAGATCACATTACAGATGGTTGTGAGCCACCATGTGGTTGCTGGGAATTGAACTCAGGACCTCTGGAAGAGCAGTCAGGGCTCTTAACCTCCGAGCCATCTCTTCAGCCCCCAGACCCATTTTTATATATCTACTTTTCATTAGCTTAGATCTTTGAGGGGTACACCACCACATGGATTGTATCCAATGGCCTTTGCAGGAAGGTTGCTTCAGAATTTGGCATGAATCATGCCACTGTTTCTATACCTGAGTGTGTCCTTTCCCCAGATCACTCTGGCTTTTGGTTTGCCTCCAGGAGTCGTGTGTGTGTGTGTGTGTGTGTGTGTGTGTGTGTGTGTGTGTGTGTGTGTGTGTACACACACACACACACACACACACATATGCATTCATGTCTTTCCTAAGTAGAATTGTTTCATCTCGGCCATAAACACCTTCAATTTTAAGAAGAGTTGTGTGCTCTCTTTGGTTTCAAAGACCTCACTATAGCCAGCAAAAATAACCTTGCACCACAGCCTTCCAGACAGATTTGCCTTTTAGATGTTCTGTACCCAGCAGGCCTCCACAGGTGCCAAGATGGTAGAAAGAGCCCCAGTAAGATTCTTCTTTTGTTTTTGTATTTTTTGTGGGGGGTGTTGAGACAGGGAATGATTATTTGGGGAATGATTAAATCACTCTATAGGATGATAAATACTCAGCCTTTAAGAAATATTCATCTTTATTATGTGTATGTGCATGTGCACATGTGAAGTGCTAGTGGAGGCCAAGAGAGAGAGAGAGTACCGGATCCCCTAGAGCTGGAGTTACAGGTGGCTGTGAGCCCTGGATTGATGTGGGGCAGGGAACTGGACTGAGGTCCTCTGCAAGAACAGTTAGCACTTTTCACCACTGAGCCATCTCTCTAGCCCCAATACTTACATATTTTAATATTCCCCTAGAAACTAACTTACCATCATGTTCATCAAACTTGTCAATGAGAGTACACATCCGATAGTCCCATAACTGGATGACCCCATTGTGTAAACTGGTCAGGATCCAGGGTCTTTTGGGATGAAAACTAAGGCCTGGGGAAGGGTGAAAAAGCAGAAAATCATACAATGAGGTAAGGCCCCTGATGTCTTCCTTTGTCAAGTCTGGTAAAAAAGGAACAACTAGATTAACCAGAGGCTATCCATCTATTCCTTCAACATGCTTGATAACTTTTCCCCTAATTTTTTTCTTTTTTCTAAAGATTTCTTTATTATGTATACAGTGTTCTGCCTGCATGCCAGAAGAGGGTGCCGGATCTCATTATAGATGATTGTGAACCACCATGTGGTTGCTGGGAATTGAACTCAGGACCTCTGGAAGAACAGCCAGTGCTCTTAACCTCTGAGCCATCTCTCCAGCCCTCCCCTAATTTTTAAAGTATGTCTGTGTAGCCCTGGCTGTCCTGGAACTCACAGAAATCCGTTTGCCTCTGCCTCCCAAGTGCTGGGATTAAAGGGGTACAGCATCACTACCCAGCTGATAACTAGCTTTTTATTGGATACCAAATACAATAAATCTTATTGTTGGGCATTTCTTTAAACATTGCTGGGCTTTGTTCTGAGGTGCATCTTAGCTGGAATCACCTGACAGATATGACCTTAAGTTTTGTTACTGTGAATCTACAGCTGCCTTTATAGTCTAGGTCTAATTGGAACCACGGCTAAGGGAATACCCACCAGAGGGTCTCTAGAGGATGTTCAATAATGGCAGGAAATTTCATCTCTCCAGCCCCACAAGAAATCTTTGTGAGCACAGACTATTTTCAGCATTGTGTGAGCTCCAGGGATAATTGCTCTGCTTTCTCTTTTCATTCTTTATTTAAAAGTTATTAAGATTCATTTTTGTGGGGCTGGAGAGATGATTCAGAGGTTAAGAGCATTGGCTGCTCTTCTAGAGGTCTTGAGTTCAATTCCTAGCAACCAAAAGGTGGCTCACAACCATCTATAGTGGGATCTGATGCCCTCTTCTGGTGTAAAGGTGTACATGCAGATAGATCACTCATAGACATAAAACAAATAAATCTTTTAAAAAAAGATTTGTTTTTGTATTATTTTTAATTATGTGTAGATATGTGTCTGTGTCTGTGTGTGTGTCTGTGTGTGTACACATAAGTGCAGGTACCTATGAAGGCCAGATGTGTTGGATCCTCTGGTATTGGAGTTATAGGTGGTTGTGAGAACCCTGACATGGGTTCTGGGAACTGAACTTGTGTCCTCTGGAAAAGCAAGTGCTCTTAACCACTAAGCCATCTCTCTAGCCCTCAATTATCATTTTTTCTCTTTTTAAAAAAGACAGACCTCACTCTTATGTCTAGGCTAACCTAAAAATCACAATCTTATCACCTCAGCCTCCCAGTGTTGGGATTATAGGTATGTATAACCACCATAACTATCTCAATTTTTTAATACTTTTTTATGTGTACGAGTATTTTGCTTGTGTCTATGTGCACCACATGCATGTCTGGTGCCTATGGAGGTCAGAAGAGGGTGTCAGATCCCTTGGAACTGGAGTTACAAATGGTTACGAGCCACCACGTGGATGCTGAGAACTGAACCTGGGTCCTCTGCAAGAGTAGCAAGTGTTCTTAACACCACTGGGCCATCTCTCCAGCCCCACAATTACCTCCTGATGGCTCTTTTCTAGTATCTTTTCTTGGATATTTTTCTCACATGGATGTACCTATCAATACTCTAACAAAGGCCTGAGGGAACCATACAGACCTCTAATGCTCCCTCTTTTCTGGTATTTTTCAAGTGTATTTTAGCCATCTTTGTTGCCCAACTGCTAAGCTCCTGTTCCTCAGCTAGACCACAGGATTCTTCCCTCTTCCTTCATTACAGCCTGGAATCTCTCTCTTAAGCACTAATCTAAACACACACAGGACTCACCCTGTTTATTTCCCTTCCCTAAAGAAATAATTTCCTGTACTCTTCACTGACCAATGTCTGAAACTTTTGTAGTTCTGTTTAGTTGTCAGCGATTTATGGCGGGAAAGCAAATCTAGTCCTTGTTACTCCACCAGGATGATAAGACGACAAACGAGAAGAGCTGCTGACAGTCTGAAGTGTGTCCGGGTTTGTAATGCAGCAACACATCAACACAGGCCTTACTATTTTATGGACATGAAATTATATGATGCTATTTTGTAAACCTTTCTCACTTAAATACATGACATAAATGGTTTTACACTTAACGGAAACTCATTCTTTTTTCTTTTTTAATAACTGTAAGGAACAATGGCACCAAACTTAAAATTTTTAATTACACTGATTTATTTACTGGGTGTATGCACACGTGTTTTCATGTGGGTACACACATACCATGGTGCATGTGTGGAAGTCTGAGGACAACCCATATATATACATATATGGCTGTATATATATGTGGGCTATATATCGAGACATTGCCTTTAAAAAACAACAACAAACTGGCGGTGTCAGTTCCCTCCTCCTACCATACGGGCCCCGGGGACTGAACTTCGGTCACCAGGCTTGGTGCAGACCTTTAACCACTGAGTCAGCTCACTAGTCTAGCACATCTTAAGCTATTTTGGAATTGGAGATTTACTTCAGTGGGAGAGGGGTGGCTTGCCTAGTGCCTTAGGCGGGGGTGTGCATGCGTGCACACACGCGCGCACACACACACACACACACACACACACACACTCACAAGCTGAGCATGGTGTCACACACCTGTAATCCTAGCATCTGGGAGGCTGAAGCAGAAACACAGTGAGTTTGAGGCCCACATGGGCTGTAAAGCAAGATTTTGTCAAAAAAATAAAATAAAATAAAATAAAATAAAATAAAATAAAATAAAATAAAATAAAATAAAAATAAAGAAAGAAAAAAAAAGAAAAAGAGACAAACAAAAATAAAAACACCTTTATCTTAGAAAACTTGTAAATTTCACCTCTAGTTTCTGGCTATCAAAAGGATCTGCTAAAGCTGGGTGGTGGTGCACACATTTAATCCCAGCACTCAGGAGGCAGAGGCAGGCAGGTCTCTGAGTTTGAGGCCAGCCTGGTCTACAGAGTGAGTTCCAGGACAGCTAGGGCCACACAGAGAAACCTTGTCTCAAAAAATAACCAAATAAATAAATAAATAAATAAATAAAACCCAAAAAACAAAAACCAAAAAACCTCACTCTTTAGACTAGGCTGGCCTTGAATTCAGTAATGTTTGGGTTTTTTTGTTTGTTTGTTTGTTTTAGTGAGAACAATGGGAATTTTTTATTTAGTTAGAACATTCAATAGTTTTTCTATAAACCTTCTGGCTATATGATCATGTTCCTAGGAATTTACCCAAATGGTACATTAATAAAGACAAAACATTATTCAATAGTAAAAATAAATGACCTACAGATAAATGCTATGTTTGGGAATATTCAATCACATTGTGAACCCCAAATTAAATGTTTGGATGTTTTAAAACAGGGTCTCACTTTGTAGTTTAGACTAGTCTCAAACTCAAGAGACCTGCCTGCCTCTGCCTCCTGAGTGCTAGGATTAAAGATGTGCACCATCACATGGCTTCAGCAAATCCTTTTGAAAGCCAGAAACTAGCGATCTCCCTGCCTGTGCCACCACACCCATCAATGTTTGGGTGTTTTAAAACAGGGTCTCACTTTGTAATTTAGGCTGGTCTCAAGATTGTAGCAACCCTCTTGCCTCAGCCTCCCATGTGCTGGGATTACAGGTGAGAGCCACCACATCCAACTCTGGTATCTACTGCTTAGTTGTAAAAACACTGTATGAATATACTCTATCAGCAAGTTTATGAAGGCGCCTATTTTGCATGGTGTTTCTTTTATTTTTATGATATACTGTTAACACCTTCCTTTTTTTCTTTTGCATAGGTCTCACCATGTAGCCTCCAATTCATAGCAATTCTCTTGCCTCAGCCTCTCATGTGCTGGGATTTAGACATGAACAACAGTGTCCAACTTAGCACTTAATTTTTTTTTTATTTTTAATTGTGTGTGTGTTGTAGAATATTATTTTAAGGTGTGTTACTTTTGCTTATGTTGCATTTGTTTAACTCTATGAAGCTGTGTTACTGTGCCTGTGTAAAACACCTGATAGTCTAATAAAGAACTGGCCAATAGCAAGAGAGGAGAAAGGATAGGCAGGGCTGGCAGTCAGAGAGAATATATAGAGGGAGAAGTCTGGGAAGAGGAAGAAGAAGAAGCCAGAGAAAGAGGAGGGCTCCAGGGGCCAGCTACCCAGCTAGCCACAGAATAAGAGTAAAATTTACAGAAGTAAGAGAAAAGAAAAGCCCAGAGGCAAAAGATAGACGGGATGATTTAAGTTAAGTAATGCTAGCAACAAGCCAAGCTAAGGCCAGACATTCATAAGTAAGAATAAGCCTCCATGTGTGATTTATTTAGGAGCTGGGTGGTGGGCTCCCCAAGAGTGTAAAAAATAAACAACAACATGTGTCTGTATGGGGGTTATGTGCACATTAGTGGAGCAGGTGCCTGAAGAGGGACAGAAGAGGGTACTAGATCCCATGGGCTGGAGTTATAGGCAGCTGTGAGTCACATGACATAGATGATGGGAACCAAACTCTGTATGAACAGCATGCACTCTTAATCCTGATTCAGCACTTTTCACGAACTGATTCCCCCACACCTTTCTACCGACCAAGAAGACATCTGAAAAGAACTAATAGGAAATGAAGACTCATTTCAACTACTCAAGTACCAGAAACTGGTTTTATTTGTTTGTTTTTTTTTAATTACGTTTGGGCACATGTGAGTTCAGATGCCCACAGAGCCCAGAAAAGGAGATCAGATCATCTGGAGCTGGAGTTGCAGGTGGTTGTGAGCTGCCACACATGGGAACCTGGAACCAAACTCAAGTCCTCTGCAACAGCAATAAGTCTTGCTAACAGAGCCATCTCTCCAGGCCTAGGACCCTCTTTTGGGATAGTGCCTCACTGTGTAGTTGTGACTGGCCTGGAGCTCACTGTATGGACCATGCTGGCCTCCAACTCACACAGATCGACCTGAATCTGGCTCCAGGGTGCTGGGATTAAAGCCACCACAACTGCACCAGAGATGATGGTTCTTTTCTTTCTTTTTTGCCATTTTGAGACAGGCTCTCTACATAGCTATGGTGGTAGCAGGAATTCTTAATGGTACCCTTCGTGACTAAATTTCTCATGAGACTTAGAACTGCTCATAATATAGCCTTATATTAAGTAGCCTCCAGTTTTTGAGTTACTGAGTCTGGCCAGGCATTATTATAAACATATTTAATATACTTTCTCATTTTAATTATTTTTATAAGAGAATGTTAATTACTCTTACTTTTAAAAATAAGAATATAGACATTTAGAGATAGTAAGTATGCCGTATGCCGCCTAAGGTCATATAGGTTGTTAGTGGATGTTTCAGAATTCCTAAGCAAGTACATGTAACTCCAAAGAACAGATTCCAAACCACTTCACTATAATGCATTTTAGGAAATATTCCAGATATATTTTTAACCAGATTCCCGTAGACTTAATTCTCTGCTTTTCTAATTTCAACATTCTGAAATTAGAACATTCTGAAAGCACGTGATCTCAAGCCTTTGTCCTTCAAAAATTATTACCAAAAAAACTGTTTAGCTGACATTCAAATCTTGTATTTCATTCAACAGTCTTAACAGTCTCAGGGCTTTATGGAGCTGTAGGCACACAGGCAATAAACTCCAACGTTAGCACTCGACATAGAGGTGGTGCAGCCTGGCTAATGGAATAGCCAGTGCCTGACCCCCCCCCCCCAAAAAAAAGCGACAGTGACAGAGGCTGAGAACCAATCCCCAGAGGTACTCCATATAACACGGCCATCAAAAAGCGTAAAAGGCACAAGGCCTTCAGAACAGAGAGAATAAAAGCCGGCGCACGGCCCCTAGAAGAGGGGGATGGAAAGAGAAAGCGGGCCTCAAGGATCTCCCACAACGCAGGAACCATTTCGCGAGTGAATCCAAGTCCCGGCCCTCACTAAGAAGCGCAGACTGCAGAGACTGCACTAGCCCTAACCCGCCTCCCTCGGGGTTCCTCTCGGTTCGAGGGGCCCAATTCGGGCGGCGAGTCCGCCCATTCTCTCTTCCCTAGTGACAGCACCGCCCTAACACCCACCCTCCGTTGTCCCCCTTTTCTTCCTCTTCTCTACCTTTGACCCGCGCGCTCTTGGTCTCGAATTTGGTCAGCATCCTTCAGGCCTCCGGCTCCCAGGTTCGACAACCCGGTCCCGCCGCTCCCGGTTGCCCTCCCAAAGGCTCCACGTCAGCTACCGGAGGCCGTGGCTCCCGGAAGCTCCTCAGACACTAACTTCCGGTCTTTGCAGCGCTGGACCACAGAGACGGTGCCGGCGGAAGCCTAGAGAGGCCGATACGAGACTGGAAGGGACCCGAGGCTTCCGCCCAGCGGAGAGGCAAGATGGCTACGACTAGGGGCGGCTCTGGGCCTGACCCAGGAAGTCGGGGTCTTCTTCTCCTTCTGTCTTTTTCCGTGATCCTGGCAGGTGAGGTCACCCCACCCCGGAGCTCCGCTCTGTAAGGAGAACCGTCCGGATCGGCCCACCGCAAGTGCAGGCGTTGCCCTTCTGGTTCCCATTGCCCCTCTGTCCCCCCGCCCTGTAAATCCTTCTTGTCTTTCGTTCCCATGACATAAGTTCCCCCTTTGCCTGGACCTTCATTTCTTATCTCCCGAGGCACGTCGTTTCGCTTAGTTGTCTCCAACCTTTTTCTGGGTTTCCAACCTGGTTTTCTTCTACCTCATTAGCATGCCTCGTTTTCTTTAAAGCCCCAGCCACCGCACCCCACCCACATTCAAAAGGAACAGGTGTAAAAAGCTCAGCCTCCTTTCTCTGGTTTAGTATTTTTGAGACCATAAGTCTTGTTTTGTGGGCGCTTTTGCAACACTGAAAAAAAAAAATGAGAGCCCTCATTTCCTCCTGTTGGTGGTTCTATACTAAATGTGTGTTCCTTATTTTCTTTACTTACTAAAGTGAGGCTAACGTGGGCTTGGCTGGTTTAAACTGTTAAGAGGAAGGTAACGATTCAAGGAATTTTAGACGTTTAATGTATATGCATATTTTCATTTTTCAATATAATGTTTAGTGATTTTGCAATTATGAATTACAATCACTAACATCTGTAATTCTTTATAGTGTGTTCAACTAAGAGTTGAGCAAAGCTATAAATGTTTTCTTATATGTATATGGCTTTCTAGTTGAGCCCTAACATGCAAACATTCCTGTCTATAACCATGACTATCTCTTCCCCTACATTAACATTGATTTTGACCATCTTCAAGGAAGAAACAGTAACTTCCCCATACTCTAGGTGTGCACACAAATGATCTGATGTTTGATTAACCGAACAGATGTGTGGCGTAAGGTTTCTCCTAGGTCTGTTCAGATTTTTAGCTGGGTTTTGTTGTTGAATGCTTTTCTTGGTTTGGTTAATCTATATTCTTAGACCAGAGGTCTTTTGCTAACTAATTAGTAAAATACATACAAGATAGAAAAGCAGAAGTGGTTACCCATGCAACTAGACGCAGACACATCTAAAGTCAAAGACTTTTCTTTTGAAAAATCATTTTTTAGATTTATTGTTAATTGATCTTCATGGAGTTTAATAACTTCCTAAGATACATAGCTAGATACTTTTATGCAACACTTATGTTCCAATAATGTGACTAAGAAGTGAAAACAATGATCATTAATCCCATGCTAGAAAATATGATAGTGAATGATTTACCTAAACCATGACTCAAGCTAATGATGATAGAGGCTAATACCAAGTGTCTTTCACTTTTTCCTAATGCTTTTTATCTTCTGGTCAGGATTGTGTGGGGGAAACTCAGTGGAGAGGAAAATCTACATCCCCTTAAATAAAACCGCTCCTTGTGTACGCCTGCTCAATGCCACTCATCAGATTGGCTGCCAGTGTAAGTTGAAATTGTGATTTGTATTTGTGGCCATTAATAATTCAATCTGTATCCTGGATACTCACAACTACTCATGTCCTGCTTAGGAATCTTGGTGTTCAAATCAGAGTGTGTGTATAGGTGATGATTATCATCTGCCAAACCAGGCAAGATAATTAATAAGAGCTTAAATTTAGTAATATGTACATTTTATTTTTACCTCTGCAACAATCCTTGTTATTAACATTGTACAAACGATGGAACTAAAACTTAGAGAAATTGCTTAATTTCCCCAGCATCATCATGATAGTAAGAAACCATGCTAGGATTTGAACCCTGGTGGGGCTCTTAACTGTCTTACCTTACAGTTCTCTAAGGAAAAAGAAACCCCATATTCTATGGAATGTAATCATCACTCTGGCACTCTGAGTGATCTTTTTTGAACCAAAATAGCCTTTTTTTTTTTTTTTTTTTTCATTTGAGCAGAATCTTGCTGTGTAACCCAGTCTGGCTGTAGCCTTCTGCTGAGTTCTGGGATTGCAAACATGTACCACTACTTGTCTGAGCTTTCTGATGTTATTTTGTGATGCTGTTGATTGAATCCCTACCCTCAAGGTAGTATCCCCAACCCCCAAAACCAGCTTCTTCAAGGGCAGTATACTAGTTAAAGAAAAGACATTAAAAATGCCAAGCAGGGGCCTGGAGAGATGGTTCAGTGATTAAGAGCTTGTTGCAGAGGGCTGAGTTTTGGTTCCCAGCGCCTGCGTGGTGGCTCTCAGCCATTCATTACTCCAGTTCTAAAAGATGTGATGATGCTTCTAACCTCTGCTGGCACTGAGCACACATGTGAGTGCACATACATACATGCAGGCAAAACATTCACATATAAATAATTTAAAAAATTTATGTGTGTATGTATGTATGTATGTGTATATGATGTATTTATTTATGACAACTAAGGGTTAGGGACATGGCTCCGTGGGTAAAAAAGCTCTTGGGCATACATGACAATCTGAATTTGAACTCTAGAACCCACATTTTTTTAAAAAAGCTAGAGGCATAATGTGTCTGCTTATAATCCTAGCACTCCTATAGAGAGACAGTAGAATCCATGGAAACTCACAGGCCAGCTAGTCTGTTGTATACAGCAAAAATACAGCAAAGAGATCCTGTCTCAAACAAGAGAAGACAAGGACAGATAGCTGACGTCTTCTATCAGGCATTTGCACATAGGATGTGCACACACGTACACATAATGCCAAATAGGGGCTGGAGATCTAAGTAGTCGGTAGAGTACTTTCCTAGCAAATAGAAAGTCCTGGTTTTAGTCCCTAACACCATATGAATTACATAGAGTGGCACTGCTATAATCACAACACCCAGGAATTAGGGTGCCAAAGCCAGCCTGAGCTGGAGACCCCATTGCCCATCCCATCCACCAAATAGTTGTAAGAGAAATAAGGGAAATATTTGGACTTACCCTTGTGCTTTGTAAATGTGTTCCAAAACAGAATTCCATGACAACACTACTGTCCTCAACACTGTATAAATTGCTGGAAGTGTAACTCAGTGTAGAGCACTTGCCTAATATGCATAAGGCCCTGAGTTCAATCTCTGGGTACTACACATATTAAAAAAATAAAATAAAAATCGCAACCTGTTTTCTGCTTAAGCTATCTATTATCATCAGATTTTAGTCTTCCATGAACGGTAGCTCTGTCAGGATAGTTTTGTAGATACACAGGGTCTGATCTTGGCTTTATCATCAAATCGATTATTTCTAAATTTTAGCTTATCCTTTTAATAATGTCTAGAATAGTGATACACAAAGCTGAAAGTCAAAGTATCTTTTTTTTTCTCCCATTTTTTAAGACAGAATTTTATTATATAGCCCAGGCTGGTCTTGAACTTATGATCTTCTTGCCTCAGGCCTCCTAATGCTGCAAATGTAGGCATGGTCCTCCATTTCCTGCTTCAAACACTTTTCAAATAAATGTCTGTTGTTGATGTGGAATTAAGTACCAAACAGTATTATGTGGTTGCCAGAAACCTTCCATCTTGGTAAGAAGAAACTCAGTTATTGGAAAGTAAGGAATTTGCTCAGGGTTAGTTAATACTTTTCTACCTGTACTTCGGTGAGCTAATTGTCCCATGTCCCCCATACAAGAAACACTGCTAGTAGATTCATTAGTTATAGACAGTCTTAAGGTTTTTGTTGGATTTAGTTTCTCATCTGAGTTGTGGATGAAGGAGAACTAGGTCCAGGGTAGACTGAGGTCAGACTGCTGGACATGACCGACCCTGACTGCAAGGACCCCATCCTGCTGAAGCTAGGCTCTAAAAACTCTGCTTTGGAGATGAGTCATTGCATTGCATATTCTTCAGGCAGCCCTGTGGGAAACAAAGCAGTAGCCTCTGGAGATAAAGCCACAGCCCGTGCAGAGAGAAGAGGGAGGGGCTGGACTCTGGCCATTTCCTCATTAGGATCTTGTTTCCTTTTCAACCTACTTATTCCTGAGTCTTGCTTCATCACATCTGTCCATTCCTTCACAGGCAACGCCCTTTTTAATTAGGGTTGGGAGCATAATGAAACTGAGGAGAAAATTTGAGCTCTAGATTTGATTTTCTGATTATCATGACCTACTTCTATTGGATCCTTAAAGTGCTCAAAGAGAGCTACCTGTAACTTTGTTTGCCCTCTATCCCCACTGTAGAAGATGAATAGGGATAAGAAAACTGCCCCTTACTGAAGATCCAGAGAAAGCAAACGCGTTACTTAAAACTATGTGATCACCAGTTAGGACCCAGATGGGAATCCAGGTTTCTTTAGTCCAGAATGCACAGTTGTCTCTTCCCTGTCCTCCCTTGAGCTGAAGTTACCTTTATGTATTTATTTTCAATTTACTACACTAGCTTTTCTTTTTCTTGTGTTTTAAGAGCTTTAGCAAGTACTATTTTCTTCTTTCTCTTGTTTTACTTAAAACCTTCGTTAGTATCTGGAGCTTACCTGAGGCTGCCCCCGACTCTGCTATTCTTCCATGTTTTATCATTGTTGTGGACGTGATCCTGTGAAGTGTTTACTATATATAAGCCATAGGCAAATCTTGTAGACTCTTCCTTTTTATTAGATGTCCTGAGAGAAGCATTCTGTTTGGTTAGCCATTGGGAAGTACTTGATGGTTTTCAATCTTCTGCCAGTTTGCAAGTCTGTTTCAATGCTGTGGTCTAGAAGCGTAGAATTACATATGGTAATTTCAGCAAATACATATATCCAGGTCCCACTGAGAGAAGGCCTAGGCATTTATATCTGAAATTCCAGTGGCTGGGAGTACAGCTCATTGGTAGTGTGAGTATTGTCCACAAGGCCTCTGACTCAGTCCTAAAAAGCAAAGCAGAGAA